TCCAGTCGCTTTTTTAACATCTGGTAATAATTGTCCAGTTCAAATTCATTCATGCACTTCAGAATGCAACAACTCGACTTGCTAAATGCAGAAATGAAACTCATAGAACCTATATTTTATAGTCTATGCACAGGTACACTGCTGGAGCAGGACAGCCATCCTAAATTACAGATTGGTATAGATAAAGGCGTGTTCATGTGGCAGAATGACCCAGTCAAAGCTCAGATCTAATATGTGGCAACACTTAAAGGTTTATCTTAACAGACTCTCTCCATGCATCCTGATTTAGTTTTGAACTGTTTTGCAATGAAGGAGGGAAAATGTGTCTGAAAAATTAGACAAAAAAAAAAACATTTAGTTTACAACCCAACAGAAGACAGAAAGAGGCCAGGAGAGCAGAATACAAATATACCCCCCACTTTTCATGTTTTTATTTGTAAAGAAAATCTGTTTCTATCAGTTTCCTTTGTTTTCACAATTAAGGTCTACTTTGCATTACTCTATCCCAAAAGAGTCCATTAAATACATTGAGATGTGTAGTTTTAATGTGACAAAGCGTTAAAGGGGTATACATACTTTTGAAAGCCCTTCTGCTGCTGTACACACATCAACTCCCTGCGTGAATATGAAGGTTTTTACTGCATGTTTACCTTACCTTCAGCCTTTTTACACAGTTTTTTAAGATAGTTTGATGACAGACTAATGCTAATCTGACCTGATGCATCTTTCCACTTTAGAGTCAGAAACCTGTTGTCTTTTTCAGAGACGAATGCTGATGAAAGCAAGCATCTGGAAACTGAAGGCAGATGCTAACTAAGTTAATTGTGTGTGGACAGGGACTTTAAGGTTAATTAAGTTTCCCTGTTATTTAAGGAAAGTGTCTCTACAGTGACTGTGTTGCATAATAAACAGTTTGCAGTTCACTTCATGGGTGATCATGGAACTAAGAAAGGAGCTGGAGAAAGTGACAAAACATCAGAAATAATGAATGTGTCCTGTTTTTTTTTTGTTTTGTTTTTGTTTTGTTTTTTACTTTGATCCATTTTCTGTATTTTGAACCAGTCGTAGAAATACACTGGGAGGTGAAGCCATAAATATTACAACTTGTGAGGGAAATATTTATCAAGTTACAGCTACTATGTAACAGACAGAGGATCAGCTTCAGAATTTCACCTCAATTATTGAGCAAGTTTAGAGTTTCAAAAAGGCCACTTATAAATGTTGCATACCTGTCACTGTGCTCATCTGGTCAGTTTAACACTTTTTTCCTTTTACTAGGTGTGTTAGATCATTTTTTTTGGGGAAAAAAGTGAACTAGTAAAATACATAATTCTAGTGGCTAAGAAACTGCTTCATAAAAGAGCACCGATTTATCTTTTTAAGACAATATGAATGAATATGTCTAAAATTCTACATTATATGTGGTGTTAGTCGTCTGTGGGGGACTTGCCAAGTAATTTGAATATACAAACAGCAGGTTTTGCGATAATTTTGCTATAACAGCTGTTCATGTGGAGACAAAATTGGTTATACAAACTACTAATGGTATTAACAGCATAGTACAAGGTTAAAAAATACAGAGCAGCAATTAAAAGTTCTGGGTCTTGTCTTCTGCTCTCCTGTATTCAGTCTACATCCGAGCCTTTATGACGACTTTGCGGTTGTCATTTATGAAGTTTGGTTGTGTTTTCAGACGCCATGGTGACGGAGGGAGGAGAGAACTTCAGCCAGGGTCAGAGACAGCTCTTCTGTCTGGCCAGGGCCTTCGCGAGGAAGAGCAGCATCCTCATCATGGACGAAGCCACGGCCTCCATAGACATGGCGACGGTCAGTGCGCGGCCTAACAAGAGAAACATCTCGAGGCGATGAAGTGGAGATGAGGCGTTTTAGGAAGGGAGGCGCAGGAAATGAGCAAAGCAGAGATAGGAGAGGGCGACGGAAATGAGAGCTCACAAAGTTCCATTTTAGCTGCCGGCGACGGCGCAAAGATAAAGACAAAATGAAGATGTTTGTGGGATGAAACGCCAAATACAATGAAGCATCAAAGGCAGATTGAAATGCTTCAAGGAGAAATTAATGACAGTGAGTCTCACCTGAACTTAAATTTAAATATTTCCTTCTACAATATTGAGACCCACAGATTTGCTAACTCAGCATTCAGCTGCAGCAACTTTGCACAGAATAAATGGTTGCTGGAATTTGTTTCTCATGTGGATTTACTCTGGTCTAAACCAACTCAGGGTCAAAATAATTCATGCAGACTCAAAACATATGCGCATAAACCACTGTTAATATTTGATTTAATGAGTTGCATCTCACCCAGTTCTGTTTAGAACCCATCAAGAACTTTCTCTCATGATCCTGGAAAGATATATATTGTAACAGACTGATTTCCTGGCACACATCCCAGGTTTTCAGCAATAAACATTCAGCAAGTTTTAGGTTTTATATTTATAAATGCTTCATCTGTTTTATCTTTTCCAAAAGCCTGTGATGTGTTTAGGATCAGTGTCCTGCTGGAAAAGCCAGCTGTGTGTAAGTTTCAACCAGGTGGCCGCAGGACTGTCACCTTTGGAAAGAAGGAAATGTTTAGGATGTCAAGATACTCCATAACTCAAATGGTTACAATAACAATAAGCCTCTGGAATATTCCTGCATTACTGAAAATGGAAAGGCTGTGCTTAAAAGCAGGGCCAATGCCAGGAAGCCAGCTAATTTACAGAAGTGTTACCATTTCAGAAAAGGAGAGGGATCATCATCAATAATCTGCCGTTCAGACCTAAACAGTCACCTGAAGCTAAACATGTGGACAAAAACTGCACTTGATAAATATGAACGACTGCGGCAGGGAGAGAGGGAATCCCAAACCGAGGATTTTAGAGTGAGGAGGAGAGTCAGAAGCAAGCAGGAGTGCTGGAGAGGGAATCCATGGAGCTGGAGGAGGGTGAAATAAAAGAAGACAGAGCTAAGTGCGTGTAAAAGCCTGAGGGGAGTTTCTGTATATTCAGATATCCCTCTCTTGAATGTTCACTCGCAAACAGCTCCACTTTGAGTTTACAACAACGTAGCAGGAAAGCCCCGGAGGAAACACAGTTCAGCTTTTAGTGCACAAAGATAAACAGGATCGAGGGCAAAGGGAAGAATATGTCTGCGTGTGTGTGTTTTTTTTTATTATTACAGGCATTAAGTTAAATCTTAATAAAAATCTTATATTTTTATGCAAAGTGGAATCTAATGTGTGTGTGTGTGTTTGAACCAGCATTCTCTTGCTCTGCATCCCTCAGGAGAGCATCCTGCAGAAAGTGGTGATGACCTCTTTTGCTGATCGGACAGTAGTAACTATAGCAGTGAGTACCTCTTCCTCCTACTCTTCCTCCTCTTCCTCATTTGCAGCAGCTCTTCAGGGATTCCTGCAACATAGCGGCTCTACATTTCTGCCCCGAGAGTGCTGACTTTCACACTGCTCTGCTAATGTCTTTCTCATAAGTGGCTGCAGATATTCTGCTGCAAGATTCTGACGCAAAGAGGGAAACTTTGCTTCAAATAGCTTCCTGAAAAGTTATTTGCAAGTTGGTTTTCTTTTATTTCAACTTCACTAAAATATTTGCACCAGAAACCAGAGAAGAATACTTGGTCGGCTTTGATTTTTGCAGCGTTTGTGAGCTCAGTCAGAAGAAAGAAAGAAATGAATGAAAGATCGACTTGTTTAGTTTGTCTCGTCCTCATAAAGGTTTTGCAAAAAGCATTAATCTGCCGATGCTGATTGTTTCTATTAAAGGATATTCGGCTATTTTAACTCTTCATCTTCCATTGGCAAACTCATTGATTTATGCGTCATCACAACACTGCATTCGAGTTTTAAAAGAGAGACAGTGAGTCGGTTTGACTTCTTTGATGCGCTCTCTGAGCTGTGCCAGTGAAGTGATGGATCCCTTCTTCTCCGCCACGCAGCATCGAGTCCACACCATCCTGAACGCCGACCTGGTGATTGTGATGAAGCGGGGGATCATCCAGGAGTACGACAGACCCCAGGCCCTGCTTGACAGAGAGGACAGCGTCTTCGCCTCCTTCGTGCGAGCCGACAAGTAGAGGAAGCGGCACGAGGCGAGGAAAGCTTCGGAAGCGTCAAAGGAAGACATTCAAAGTGCAATTGTCCCATGGGACATCTCTAGTCCTCTTATTTTTTAATCACGCTGTAATATATTTGTACATAAAAACGATTGATTCTTTGTTAATAAAACATAAATGACAGTCTCAATGTGTTTTGACTCTGAGGTTTTCAGGACAGTGATTTTTATTACTGCAGATGATGCACACACCACATCCCTGCTCATCCAGTGCATTAAACAACATTGTAATGATTGGCTATTAAAGATGGAGGGAACAGCTTGTTAAAAAGAATAGAATCCCACCCGTGCAATTTGAGATCTAGTTCATTATATCTCCAACTTACTTTGACTAGTCCCACAAAGTGTTGAGTTTGTAACTTCATTATTTTAATTCAATTCACTACGGTGTCTGATTTGTAAAACACTTTGCGTTTTTCTGACTGTTGGTGCCCTGAAGGCCACGTGACCCACATCAAAACACTCCACCTGACAGTGTGCAATATTTTTGCACCACTGGTGATTTTGATAAAAACAATTATTTATTAACTGGAGATTTTTTTTCCCTCCACTGAACAAATTACCAGATTATATTCATATGAATTTAAGTTGTTTTTATTTACGTTGAATGCCAATAATGTGACCACCAGGTTCTGAAGGTTCTCGGTTGGTTTACAAAGACTTCCTTGAAACTTTGTGACGTGTGATTTCCTGAGAAGTGACTTGACTGTCCTGTCACCCTTCGTCCAGTTCATTCAGAGCCGTAAATGAGCAGATTTAACGAGCTGCTCGTTGCATCTCTCTTGGATTCTCGCCTCCTCCTGCGCCTGCGTTCCTGCGTTTCAGCAGAAGGAAAAGTGGGCGTGTTGTTGCCTTGGAGGCAGCAGCAGAGGCAGTCAGAGGACCGAAAAGGATGTATTTTCCAAACCGTGGCTTGGCGTAAGGGTTTGTTTTGGGGTGAGTAAAGAAAATCAACTAAAAAGTATTATTTGAGTGCAAATAGCGTTTTAAAAACCATTAAAAAAAAATCACCGATAGACTAAAGCAGAGGGTGGGGGAGGGGCTGCTTCTCCTCCTCGCTCCATCTCACGTTACAGAGCTACAGTGGAGCGGTGAGTTCAGCACAGCTCCAGCTGCGACACGTGAACCCGCCTCCAAATCCAAATGTGATCAAACGCCGCTCAGAGGGTCCTCACACCCCTGCGTCGAAACTTTGTCCCCCCCCCCGAAACCCCCAGAATCTCCTTTACGCACAAACCCACAACCACGAGAGCGCAGCGACGCGTGTAGCCGAGTGAACTCAGGATGAGGCTGGGTGGCGCGACCCAGTTATGTCCGGTCAGTCGGACGGCTCTGTGAGTGGCGGCGGCAGCTGTGGAACGTGGAGAAAGAATCTTCTCATGGGACTTCTGGGTCCTGAAGCGCCTGATCCGGAGGCAACGTGAGGAGCGCGCGAGCCTCCAGAACACGGAGCGGCCCGAGGCGGATACCAGTGGGTTCCGACGGGGAAGGAAGGGGGACGAACCCCGTCTTAGTGCCGAGCGCACAGAGGACCCCCCGGGCCTGAAGGTTGCGGGTTACATAGCATGGGAGCGCAATGTTGTCCAGGAAGGGACTCATTCCTGAGGACTACCTGCTGACACGACTAGCTGAGGATGTTCTGCAGCCGAAGTTCAAGGCCAAGCAAGGGAAGGCTCGGTTTGTGGGGAAGAACGGCACCTGCAACGTTGCGCACACCAACATCCGAGAACAGGGTCGGTTCTTACAGGACGTGTTCACAACTCTAGTGGACTTGAAATGGCTCCACACTCTCATCATTTTCACCATGTCCTTCCTATGCAGCTGGCTCCTGTTCGGGATGATCTGGTGGCTTGTGGCTTTTGCGCACGGCGACCTGGGCGAAAGAGAGGATGGTTTTGTCCCGTGCGTAACGGACATCCACTCCTTCTCCTCCGCCTTCCTCTTCTCCATAGAAGTCCAGGTGACCATCGGCTTCGGGGGTCGGATGATCACGGAGGAGTGCGTCTCGGCCATCGTCATCCTCATAGTGCAGAACATCGTGGGACTGGTCATCAACGCCATCATGTTGGGCTGCATCTTCATGAAAACTGCGCAGGCCCACCGGCGCGCGGAGACGCTCATCTTCAGCAAGCACGCAGTCATCTCCCTCCGGAACAGCAAGCTGTGTTTCATGATCCGCATCGGAGACCTGAGGAAAAGCATGATCATCAGCGCCACCGTGCGGATGCAGGTGGTAAGGAGGAGCACCACGGAGGAGGGAGAGGTGGTCCCCCTTGACCAGATCGACATCCACATGGACAACCCGGTGGGGACGAATGGGGTCTTCCTGGTGTCCCCCCTCATCATCTGCCATGTCATCGACAAGTCCAGCCCCCTGTACGAGCTTTCACCGGACGACCTGCAGCACCAGGACCTGGAGGTGATCGTGGTGCTGGAGGGGGTGGTGGAGACCACCGGCATCACCACGCAGGCCAGGACTTCCTACGTGTCGGAGGAGATCCTGTGGGGCCATCGCTTCGTGCCGACGGTGTCCGAGGACGACGGCATGTACGCAGTGGACTACTCCAAGTTTGGCAACACCGTCAAGGTGCCGACGCCGTGCTGCAGCGCCAAGAAGCTGGATGAGGCCGGCGACGTCGCGCGGTTTAAGCTGAACGAGGGCGTCGCCATGCGGCCGTCCGTGAGAAGGCGGAGGGGGGCCGCGATGGTGCGCAGGTCCAGACTGGAGACCAAGTGAGGAGTTCTGCTTAAAACTGAGCCGCTTCACTTTTAGAGTCATTTAAAAAAATAAACTGAATCTTATTTATTTGACATTTTACCTCAGGATTAGAGAGACAAAGCACTGAAATAACTCTGACTGTTGGAATGGTTCAGAATTTCATAATTGGGGTTCTGTGAAAAGGTTACAAGTAGTTAATAACCTACCTTATCTTTAATAAACGATTCTCAGTCCCTCCCTGTTTATTATGAATCCAGAGTGATTATCTGAGAGGAAACATTAAACTCTACCACCCTAAAGCAGCTCTAGTCTCAAATACTTTTAAAAAACCTTTTAACAAAAACCCACTTGAAAACGTCTGAGCCAACTGTTTAAATGTGAGCCCTGGTATTCAGAGTGCAATGTTTGTTTTTTTAATCTGAGTGACTGCATGCGTTTTAAATTATTAGAAAGGGAAATGCTTAACTTCAAGATAAAAACAATGTTGTACATGGCCTTGCTGAAAACGAGATAAAAGTAAAGCTGTTTTTATCGACTCCTTTTGTTTCTCATCTCGAATACAATCATGAACAATATTGGAAATATTATCGATCGTAACATGTACAAGCACTGAGTCTTGAATTTTAACACAGACTTTATAGAGCTGTTAGATATGTCTAACTATCTTACTAGAATTCCAACGTTTGTTTGAGAATGCTATTTAATTTTAAAGAGTTTAACATTAAAATTTAAAGTTTTAAGGAATTGGCAAGTTTACTAAAAAAAAAATATATATAATATATATATATATATATATATATATATATATTATATATAATATTATATATATATATATATATATATAATAGTTTGACTTTTGTGTTGCTACAATCTGATGGCGAGTTTAGTCTCTTGTTTGAGCTCAGTTGGCGAACAAACACATCTCAGTGACTTCATTTCGTTTCCTGTACCAAACCAGGTTAATACTCCATTGAGACGTCGCTCTCCTTTATGAGGAGGACCTGGGCGGACAAGCGCTTTATATAGAACATGGCAGCACAATTACATTAAACTCCTGATTTCACCAAATCTACACGAAACCCTGTTAGTGATAATGTTCTCAACAGAAAGAGGAGTCCTAATTTAATTCTGCTTAAGGACCTGCCATGGTAAGGCTGTGTGTGTTACTGATGAAGCGCCACTAGATGGCGCTATTTCACTGTCTGAAGTCAACCTGATAACATAATTGCTGTCAATGTGATTTGGAACTTTTCTCCCCTAATTATTGCAGACGAACTGAATCATGTGAACATTTATAGAATGTGAAAGAAAGTTGGCAGTTCTGGTCATCCGGAGACATACTGTCTGACTCCACACAAAATTTAAATTTTAAAGAGATTAAGATTTAATCTTATAATGTTGGAAGCATCATGTTTCCTTATTTAAAGTAAAAAGTCAAAAGTATTTTGATAAATATAGATTAACTGGCCTAATGAATTCTAAATCGGTATTTATTCCAAGTATAATACAAAAGTTGAACTTGAATTTAATCTCAATGTACTCACTGGCCACTTTATTAGGCACAGTGTGACGATAGGGCTGCTTTTGAGCCCATTTTCCCAAACAGAACCGCTTAATTCTATGACATGAATCTATTTCATACTTTAGAACTGGAAAATAGTTCAATCCCTTATTTTTCCTGATTATGTATGAAGCCCAAGGTCAGCCAGTGAAATGTCGTAGATGATATAATCAGTCAGTTCAGGTAATATTTTAATGTTATTTTTTTTCCTTTTATAATAAAACACAATTTGTCACAGTTGAAATATTTAAATAGTTACAAACCCCTGCTACTAAATTCACACACTAAACCTGTTAAAAGTTTTATGTTAATAAGAGACAGACACAGCTGGCATTTCTCTCTTTTATTAGATTATAATCCGCAGAGCTTAAAATATTAAATTGCTTTTAACTTAGTTAATAATTAAAATACATAAAAATGAGCCAGAACTGAGGAACCCTGCAAAAAAAGAGAGAAATTTAAAAATAAATAGAAATGGAGAATTATAAATTCAATCCTCCTCCAAACAGAGGCTATATCTGACAGAACCCGCTTGTGATTCTTTGTACAGTAAAGTCCAAGCAGACTTTGCATGTTCTATACCCAAACTAATTTTCCTCTGATAATCTTTTATTTTCCTCTTTAAAAAAAAAAAGTAAATTTAAAGGGCGAGGCAAAAAAAACAACAAAAAAAAAAAACAACAACAAACAAAAGCTGTGTTTTCATTTCTGAGCTGGAAGCACAGGTGAGTGTTTACGCAGCAGAGCAGCTTTGCACCGTTACTCCCACCCCTCCTCCACGCCCGCCCCTCTGAGCCTGCAGACATGACCTCATGTCTTTGTCCTCCTGTGCTGCCAGAGTGGGTGGTGCGGCCGTGCTCGACACCAACACGCAGCTGTGAATCGCCCGATATGGGCGTCCAAGTCTGCCTCTAAGTATTCGCTCTATGAGAAGATTAAACATCTAGCTTACAATCTTTAGATTTGCCCCTTTGTCTGCATGTTTGCTGCCCCCTACAGGTACGCTGCGGGACATGTTTGTGGGGGATAATGCGAGTACAGTGCAGTTAAATATGATCAACATTTGTCATATGAGGCAGTCTAGTAAATAAGGGACAGAATGAAATCGAGAGGCTCCTCTCTGGCAGCAGTGAATTGATTCTCTCAGATCCTGAGTAGGAAGCGCCTTAATTACCCCCACCCTACGCTCGCTCCAGATAAAGAACCCAAACAGTGATTGGCTAGCATTGCCCCTTCAGGCAGTAACGTGGCTGCCTCCTGGCCATTACAGCGCCACTCCCCCCGCCCCCATCGCCGGAGCGGGAGGGAGACGAGCCTGCGGGTGAGCAGAGGCGCCGCTTCTCCACACATCTACACTGTACACATAGCAGGTCGAAGCAAAGCAGAGCCCCGGCCCCCACCCCCTTCCTGTACTGTATGCTAGGTAGAGGACAGATGGAGTTGGATAGAAACACTGCACCCCGCTCCAACAACAACTAAATAAAACTGAGTAAAACTTTCAACAAAAATAAAAGAGGAAAATAAAAACAAACAAAAAAAAAATATACACATTTGTCTTTTGTTCCTAGTTTAGATTGCAGAGAAAATGGGAGGGATTTGTCCCTGGGAGGAACGCTCACGCCATTTCCCGCTGGCGTGACAAACCCCTCCCTGCAACCCCAACATCCCCCACATGAAACCCTCCCAGGCCTTTTCCTCCCGACTGGTCGGTCGGTGGTGGAGCGAAATATTAGGGTAGTGGAAGGTTTCATAAGTCCTGCCTGCACAGAGAAAGGGGACTGGGCTGTTTGTTTTCCCTTCTCTCCTCTCAGATCTTCCATCAATCCCCAGGGCCGCCATCTCGTCGCCGCCGCCGCTCATCTCTCCGTCACATGGTTCTGTGAAGACGGGGAGGGGGCCGGTGCGGGGACGGAGGGGGCCGGGGCGGGAACGGGACTGCAGAGGATTTCGGACAAGTCGTCCATGATACAGGTCTCCTTAGGGTCGATCAGGTTGAATTCCCTTACGAAAACGATGAAATGTGCATACAGAGTGTTCAAGTGGCCGTGCAGGTCCAGAGCCACCGTCTCTTTAAAGTGCGCCCAGTAGAGGTGAGCCAGCACGTGGAACAGGTACCGGCAGATCTTCTTCACCAACGACTCAAACGAGTTGGGGAACTCTTTGCCTGAAAGAGGAAACAAAAGCAGACATGAGGGACTGGTTTATGAACAAGCATCACGAGACACATACAAAAAAAAAAAAAAAAAGGTCAGAGGTCAAGTCTATTGTCTATTGAGTCACAGCCATTTATTTATTTCAGCAGCCAACATACCCTGTTAAACTAAACGAAGCTAACTTTTGGGCTAAGTTATGCAAGTTTTACTACAACTTTTAACAGAGACACTTGTGAGAAGATCTGGTCAGACCTTCTTGGTCAGACTGACAACTCTGCTCAGAGTTCTCAGTCCCTTTTAGTTCACTTTCCAATTAAAATGACAAACTATTCTATGAATTTAAGGCCAATACCTCTACAAATGTCAGAGGAACCTGAAAAAATGAGGAGGAAGGAAGCATGAGGGGAAAACTGGTGTAGGAAACAGAAGGACAAACGGCTGGAAGGATAGACGATTGGTCAAACCAAAGATAATTGGAATTGATTGATCAACAAACAACTGAATGGACGAACAGATTAATAGAAAGAAAGTTGGATGGTCTGATTGGTAAGCAAAAGACTGGAAAGATGGATGGATTTACTCAGACAGCTGAGTGAAGGGATGATAGACAAGAGAATGGACGGATGGACCGACGGGAGGACAGAATCTAGATGTCGTTCAGACAAATGAAGTTTGAAAATTCAACTGCATTTTCTTTTTTTATAGTTTCTTTATAAAACCTAAATGAAATTCAGTACTCCAGGCTTCTGAGGCAACATTTTACATTTCTACGCCTGCAGGGGGCAGTGTAGCATCAGTCAGGTTCACACTTCAGAGGCTCAGGGGTCCACTCACCGTACTTTGTAGGAAAGATTTCCTCATCTGTGACCAGTTTCTGACAAAGACTCATTACGAAGTCGACATACTGTGGAGCAGTGCACTTCGTCTTCTTCCCCCTCTCGTCATACCAGTAGTATATTCTAGAGAGACAGACAAACATGAAAATCACCTTTCTGATATTTTGGAAAATCCTTTGATTACACAACTCTGCAAATTTAAGTAAACATGCAAATGGACGTTTGTGGCAGCTGAGACAAAAACAAGAGCACTTCCTGGAACAACAGGGTGATGAACAACACATCAGCCACCGAAGAGGCATAATCACCCTTTAAAAACAATCAGCTACTCTGTTTTCTTATCAGGAAAAAAAAAACTACCTAAACGACTGAATTAAGCGGCAGAGTATTAGAAAGAGTTAAATAAACAATTTGGGTTTTATTAGACTTCAATTGGAACAAGTTCCCTCATCTCTCTACATTCATCCCCCAGTTCAGGGCCAGTTCTGTTGCCGGTCCAACATTTCCCTTTGCACTAATTCAGAATAGTAGGTAAACATCTGGAAGAACAGGTATGAAAAAGATGTCACCTGAAAGACTTCAGCATGCTCACGATGAGTCAGACAAACAAAACAGGATGAGTGAAAAAACAAAGCATAATCTCAGAGCTAAAGGGAGTCGGTTCATTGGCTGATAAAATGAGAGCGCAGGTGCAGCTGGGGCACCGTATGTGTGTGTGTGTGTGTGTGTGTGTGTGTGGGAGGTGGAGGATCAGACATTACAAATCCTGAGTAAACCTGCAGGAGACCTACTGGTCACACCAATCGTAGACGCCCACAATGCCTCGCCAAAGTATTCACACACCTCTAATTTGTCCCATTGCAGCCACAGACTCAAGTGTGTTTATGAGGATTTTGTGTGATAGACAAAAATTGTAAAGCAGTCAGAAGACGTAAATATATTTAATTCAGCCCTCTTTTGTCTCATAAATAAAAAACAAATAAGGAGGAAAACAATTGTAACAGTTTCCTTTCTATTAGTAAAATCTCAGCAACATACAGTAAAGTTTCATGGTTGTAATGTGACAAAAAGAGTCGAGTAATTTTATAAAACACTATGTTCACACAGACGACGCAAGATGCAAACACACAGCGCAGATCTGATGCAAACAGAGCCGCTCTCATCCAGACTATAAACACTCTGATTATATTTCAGGAACTGTTACGTTTCATTACGTTCTAACTGCTTTGAATGGGGAAAACTATTTGAAAAAGATTTTATCGCTGTTTGCAGAATCCAAAATGGAACCAGCTAAGTGAGACCAACACAGAGCACTTTATCCAGCCACCCGAACAAAATGGGCCTAAAAGGGCTGCTAAATGGTTCCATTCCCTCAAAGATCATGGAAACATTTTCTTCCTAAAATAGTGCCAAGCTCTGCCCGTGGGCAGGGGCACTGACGCGTCTGCGACTGTGGCTCAGTGCCCCCCTCTCTCCCCACTTTACCGCAGAAAGTGGGGAGAGAGGGGGGCAGGAAAGGGTGGAGCGCTGCACAGCAGGAAGGAGAGAAAGGTAGAGTCATAAATATAAGACCTGGTGTTGCAAAATGGATAATTCAATCCAGAGAGAGGCTACGCCACAATGTATATTCAATATTCGTTTGGAGTGTTTATTTCTTCTGCGTTAACTCATTGCTTCTCATCTCCACAGCTGAACGAACGCCGCTAATGAAACGAGACGCCGTCACTTCCTGCACTCTCTCCTGCAGGCCAAGCACGCTTCCTCCATTCCTCGGGTAAATGGAGTGTCACCTGCAGCTAGTCTAACAAAACTAGCTGCAGGTGATGGGCATGGAAAAATCCACTGTTGACTCAGAGGGAAGTTTCTTTTACGCGGAAAAGCTACCAGGTTGCCATTAGTCAGTGGTGGAGGCGGGTTTGTAAGGTCATTTCTCCAATGTGAGCTTTTTCAGATTGGTCAATATGCTACAAGACCGTGGGTTATGTGTTGCTTACCATGTGTGGCTGATCAGATTTTACAGTCTTTCAGCACACAGAAGGCGTCTCTTTAGAGACTTAAAGGATGACTGAACCACACCCTGACAGGCTCCCTGTTTACATAAATACTTGCAGTCAGTCGCCTCCCTTCATGCCGTAAATATGCCAGGATGTTTTTAGAGGCACACAGCTGAAAAACAAACTGCTGCTACAAAACCTTTAGCAAGTGACCCAGGAGTGAGTTTTAATCACATCTAAAGAGGTAAATAAGTGACAGTTTAATTAGCGCATTAAGGAAGTTGGTCTGTGTTCATATCAGCAGGCTGCAGAAAGCAAAGAGGACAATTTCCTGAAATCTGCAGGAAATTGTCCAGGTGAGTGATTATACCACAATGACCTCATTGTGGTATATAAGGCCAGATTACAAATACTCTTAAAATAGATCTGTGAAAAAAATTAACAAATCAGGAAATAACAGAGGGGGAAAGAGAAAGTTTACAAAGTTCTTATATGAAGGGCTAACCACACATGTTGGATCTAATACAGAAGTGTAAAAAGCCTTAAAATAATATATTACAGCACAATAATCAGAAAACCAATCCAATTTAACTGAACATTTATTCAGCAGAGAAAAAATGATGCAGTTAAAGTATTATTACAAATTAACCACAGCATCATGCATCCTTCTCTGAACTCCACAGAGGGAGTAAAGTCATTTAAACAGCCGTCCTTTGTATTGTGCAAAGTCCACTGGTGAATGTTTGTTACTGAATAGTAACAATCTTACTTTTATCTGACCAAAGTATGTGTCAATAGTGTTTACTAGTTACTATAGAGACTCAGTTCCCCCAAGGTGGCATCAAAGTGGTCAGTGAGAGAAACGAGCCATTGTCACAACATATTCATACCAGAGGGAAGCAGCAAGAAATGGATCATCAGTCAAAACTCTGATTATCAAAAAAATAATTTTTAAAAAGTCTTTATTTAAAACGAACTGTCAGGAATACCTATACATTTCAATTTGTTACAACAGAGCAAACAATTGTAATTCAATGGAATTTTTCAACATTTATACACATCAGATGATGCGTCTACAATAAGAGATTACTCACCTTTATAAGGAGTCCTAATAAAAGTGGCAGTAATGTGAAGATTTGGGGCTAATAGGCAACAATGAGCTTAAAGCAGACCCAAAAGTTCATTCAGATTATTTACTTGTTTTTGTTTCACATTTTTTGGGCACTAGTGGTCTTTATTGATGAGGGTGACCGAGAAGAGAACAACAGGTAGAAAAGGCCCAGGAACTGAACCCTACACGGGTTAAACAAGGACCGTAGCGTCTCTGTACGGCTATGTGTCTGATCTAATATATTAGATCATATAGTTCTAATAAATTAACCAATATGTTAAAACATGCTAAAAACATGTCGCAGACAACTTACGTGCTACAAGCTGTCATGGCCTGACAGGTCTCCCCGGTGCAGAACTCTGAAATGGTGCTGTACTGCAGGTTGATGAGATTGAAGAATGTCGTTGCTGTGAAACAGATAAGACACACAGATCACACCTTGGCAGGGGACAGTCGATCCCCTCTTGTTGTTTTTTCTTCCACTAAGAAGTGAAAGAGATAACATATTTGTTTCACAGGTTAGATGTGTGCAACCGTGTAGTTTCTATTGGTAAGACGACATTCCTTCTGGAATTCATCTGTTTACTTAACACTTACGTCAATGGAAAATACCCACAACAATGTCTTACAAACAAGTTTTTCCATTCAACATAATACATGCAGCCATGCTTATGTCTGATCTTCACCTTACGAGCATTGAATTTGGGGTGCATGGGTTATTTTGCAATCTACAATTTTGTAAAAGATACATTTACATCTTTATCAGAGAGATGCTCCACTATTTTATTCACTAAATGCATCTAAAACTAAGAAAAGCTAACCCTGCAGGTGAAAACAAAATAATTAGTATCGACCAGGAAGAGTTTGATCACTTCATCCCACAGGGAGTGTTTAGCAGAACCTAGATTTGGATTTGGAGCTTCTTCTCTCCTGAAGGTAAGTGCACACACATGTTGGAAAAACAACACAAGCCCCAAAGGGAAAATCCTACAAGTTGAAGCAAACGCTGAGCTTTAATGTATAGTTTGTCTTAACGACATAAAAACCCCACCTCTCATCTTGCAGCTGGGTTCAATTACTCTTAATAGGTTGGTATTTATAATTAGTGGTTTTTGAACTCAACACGCTCACGTGACGACGTCAGTCACTCACTGTTGCTCGCTAGCCATTCGTTGAGGTCTATCTCTCTGGGCAGCACCACCAGCTCCTTCAGGTCGAAGTCCACCACCCGGATCTTGGTGAACTCTGGCTCCACGTACTGCTTCTTCTCCTCTGCCGGTGGCTTCTTTCCATTTGGCTTTGTCTTCGACTTCCTGCAACACAGAGGAAACGAGGACGGCTTTGAAAAGCTGCACATGCCTTTAGATTGAGGCAGTTGTTCTTACAAGCAAAAGTGAGATGGCGACGCCAGCCTAAACTCAGCAGTGCAAAAAAAAAAGAGAAAAGAAACCCAATATTCTCTGAAGACCTCAACAAAATCAGAGTTAAAAGAACCTCAGTGAGGTCAGACCTGCAGATCTATGACGCATGGGGGCGACTGAACCCACGAACACAAGGAAAATGCTCCCCAGCCCAGACTTTGACAGTGACTTCACAAACTCCCACTGTTGGACTGGTAGTCATTACTGCAGATCTCCGACCTCACATCAGCTCAGATAGCCTCATGCAGTCGCCCGTCTGCAGCGCGCTGTGCTTCCACCGCTACTTTTAGCACAGACACGTTATATCACACCCTGCCTTTACTTCCCTGAGTTTTGACCTCTCACCCCTCGGGCTCCTGTTCGGGCTGCTCCAGGAGCAGCGGATTGCTGTGGGGTCAAAGGCCAGAAACCTCGACACATAATACAGACGGGTGCCTGGTCGGTCCTCAGAGCCACACAGAAGGTTGAGATCCTGCCTGATAGGAGCTCCGCTCTAACATTTCCTCTCTGTTCCTGATTGGCTGAGGTCCACTGATGTTTGGATTTGTGTGAGGACAAGGAAGACAGAGTTTGCTCCGCTGAACCTCACTTCCGCTCTTTCAGCAGTCGCCGAACCCATCTCTTTCACTCTGTTCTGCTTCCAGATTTTGCCTCCAGGCAAAACTGAAAACATGCACTTTTGATTGCCCTAAGGCAATCAAAAGTGTTTTAGAGGGAAGACATGTAAGGTCGAGAAAAGAAAGGAAGGGTCAAACTGACATGATTCCACCTGATAACCATGGGAACAAATAAAACTTTCAAAACATGACAGAACCGAGAGGCACGAGGCTTTCTGGCACTCTGCAGTTTCATTCCCCTTCCCAGGAAGCGCTGCCTCGCTTTTCCACCCAGCATACAAGGGAAGGGCATGTCAGCATGTAGCTGCGCACACACAGCCTGCAGCCTTCCTACTTTGTAAACGCTTATTTTTTATGTGCTTGTAGTCATCTAACTCATCAGCCCTGACAAAGGCAAACTGCCTGATCACTTCCTGTGAAATGTTTAATGTCTGAGCAACCCAAACTGGTTCTTGTTTAAAGTTTCTCACGTGTTCAAAAATCCTACAGCTTGCCGAGCCGGCTTTGGGACTTGAAATGCAGGGAGGCTAAAAGGAACTGTTGATTGGTTAATTACTACTAGTCAATATACATTTTTCCAATATCTACTCCTGGATTGAAGGAGCAGATATTGGAAGGATTTCTTTTTTTGACTCCTGGTCAAAAGCTTCAGTCCATTTTATTCCTTCATTTCTTTGCATCCATCCAGTCGATCATAAAACCTCAATTTGTTTGTGGGAGTGCAGGCAGAATCAGGTAGTTTTCTGCTCTGAGCTACATGTTTCATCATGTGAAAACTGCTTTGCCCAAGGACAAAGCCTCATTTGCAGATACCATCAGTTCTTGTAGCTAAAGGTTTTTTAAAGCATCTTGGGGAAAAAAAAAACTTTGACTCATATGAAAGAATCTTTTTAAAAACAGCTTCACAACCACTTCCTGTCCTCCTCTCTCCCTCTGCAGTTTCATAACTTTCCAAACAAACTCCTCCTCCATTTCTAGAGTCCACACTTCAAGGTGGGGGGGATGAAATTCCTAAGTCATTATTTTAAGGTACAGAAAACTTCCTCTACACCCGCTCTTATCTGGGCTTGCATAATATACACAGGTTTGCCTGTTCTTGGCAAAAGCTTTGACCATAAAAGGCATTGAGGCGCCTCATTCTGCTCACCAGATCTGGGCAGAGCACAAGGCAGAATTGAAGGGAAAAGTGAGGTCAGGCATGGTCTTGGACTGGAGAGAGCTGCAGTCCCATGATGATTTAGAAAACCAAACCAAAACATCTTATTTCAAGTGAAAATGAAAGATGTGAATCAGAAGGAGTGACGTGTTTTTTTCTGGGAGAATAAAATTGGTATGGAATTGTGATCAATGGACCAGATTTATCTTGATCAGCTCATAGCCCCTCCCACAAACACATGCAGGTAAGTGCTGCAAAATCGTAAAACGGAGAAGAAATCGTAAAATGTGTTTCTCCCAAAAAACACCAAATGAGAGGGACGATGGAAATAGACATGTATTGTTGGCCAATACAGAGGTCAGAGCAACGACCAACAGCTGTTCCACTTTCCTCCTCTCGCTTTCTCCCAACACCCCCCGACCGTCAAGCCGTCTTCACTTACTACCTTTCGCCTTGTGTGCCCTCAACACACGCACGCACACACAAAACTGCATCTTCCACAGAAAGGCCACACTCACTGCAGCCCCCTTTCACTTTTCATAGTCCAGCTGGTCCCAACAGCTGCGCCCCCTCTTTCACCCTGCCAGGCCCTCCGAGATAATCTAGAAGAAGCGAGTTCTGTCTGGTTTGAGAAGCGGTGTTTGTCCAGGCGCGTGCACGTCCGCTGCAGGCTGTTCAAACATACATCTGCTTGGCCTCAGGCTGGTGCAAATATTTGTTGCTCTGTGTTGGCTGACCAAGTGGCAAACAAGTAGCCGAGTACGGCTGGGGTAAAAATGGCCTTAGCCTGAATACGAGTACAATTTGAATCCAGTCCCACTACCAGAATCTGGCTCTAATTTACCCTGGAATCACAGGGGAGAAACATTTCAGAACCATGAAGAAGAATCAACGCAAGTGCTTCATAAAAGTAGCTCTTCTCTTCCCTCAAGCCTTCGTGCTTTTTAGCTTGGAAAGTTCAGGTAGAGCCCGTCACTTTTTACTGACTTTTGTTTCGTGTGGAAACTCTTGTAACTAAACTGACACCTGTTTAATAACCTCCATGTAATGACTTTCCCCTGATGCTCGGGGTTCCTGCCAAGCCAGATATTGCACAACTGTTGCCGAAATTGGCCCTCCGGATGGAAGGGGCGTAGAACTGCTGGCATATGGATGCAGTCAATGCAATCCAAAGAAACACCGAGGACAAGCTCAGTTCAGCTTTCCGTCAAACACAACACTCCTTTAAAGACGTTAGGAATTTTCTCTAATAGTTCCTAAAATAATCAAGAGGCGCCCTCAAAAACAAAATGCAGTCCAACAAAAAAAAAAGTAAAACAGTTTGAGGTGTTTTAAAATGAACACAACAGATTGATGGCAACTGAGCCAAATCCCTAGATGAAGAATAGATGTTGAGTTTTCCAGCTTTTTTCGTGACCCTGAGTAAACGTAGCTTCTACAAGAGTCAGAGGTCAAAGGCCTTACGGTCAGAGATCTTCTGCTTGTTATAAATTCAGTCATCATCAGATGAATAGAAACAATTACTTTAAAAGTGCAGTAAAATAATTGATTAAATGACTCAGTGTATGAACAGAGCAGTCTTAGGAGTGGCGGTTCTCTCTTGGGTCACTGATCTGTTTGGAGACTGAAACAAAAAGGCTCTGAAGGCCACAAACACCGGAAATACAGCCAGGCAAGAACAGAACCGCAGCAGCCATCACAAAGGCTAAATTCAGAAAAGTTTGAACTAACCACAGAAAACCAGGCTGTTTTTGATTTCGTCCCACCTTCCTCTTCTCTTCCTGTCCTAAATCCCATTCACAGTGTTCACATGGACCCCCAGGCAGCACCATGATGAAGCCTCATCAACATCACAACACATATGTATATGAAGCAAGGGTACATGGGGGATGAGCCATTGCTTAAGGGCTTTTTTAAAAATGTAACTTCACAGTAAGAATCCTTTTTGTTTCGATCTCCCATGCTGTTTCGATAAAAAAACAAATCCAAAAAAAAAAAAAAAAATCAACTCAGAATTCTCTCCATGTACCTCAAATGGGTCATAAGCTTGTATTTATCACTCTATTCTTACCGCTCGTCTTTACAACTGCTTCTAAACCAAAGGTAATGAACAATTTACCAGAGAAGGAAACGCATTAAAAGAAGAGCAACAAGTCTACAACCCTTCCCGTCATCCTCATGAACTCAACTTTCTTCCTTGTTGTCTTTGGCATAGCCACTTTTGCTTTTATTTTTACCCCTGAAGTAGTGTGTCAAATCTCCCTCTTTGTGGTATTTCCTCAGAAACAACTGACTTCTTCATAACAAGGTCGAACTTCCCAATAAAGGGAAGTTCAACAAGACTTGTCTCTACCTGTCGCTGATGTTGCAACAGACTTTCAGCTCAGCTGCCTGTATCGTGCATACACAGGTTGTTGGTGATATCCTCCTCACCAGTAACGTTCAGACTGCTATTGTGTCACAAAACTATTTGTCTTAAGGCATTTGGCTCTTGGGCTGCTGGAAGAGAAAACATTTCCAGGAGAGCCTCTCACCTCACGCAACAGACTCACAATGACAATTAAAACTGGAATACACAAAAGCAAAATAGGCAAAAATCTGTAAGAGATTGAACTCTCTTAATCTGAAAATCAAAAACCAATCGCCTAACTTGATGTGGGATTCATAAACTCACTGCCTCCACCAAAGAACCAGAACAGCTGGTTCTCTATACGAGTTAGTTAGGAATTGGTGGTAAAGGTTCAGGGAAAAAAAAAACAAAACAAAACAAATCCAAAGAAAACAAAAAAATAGAAAATCTGTATTAGTCAGAAAAAGCTTGATTATTGCCTCTTTAGAGGCGATGGCTAAGAGTTGGAAACATGCAGTTAGTCTGTGAATGGAGCACTCCATTGTCAGACGACAGTACAGTTTTCAAGCGTGAACCCAGCTCCCCAAATGTATAAGTTTAAATGGCAAGGGATATAACACATTGTGGAAAATAATAAATAAATAAAGTTTTATGTACATAAATATAGATTAAATGATGGGGAAGAAAATGGTTTTCAAAGTATGGAAACAAAACAAACCTGATGGTTTTTTTTTTATTTTTTATTACCTTGTCCTACAACTAAGATTTT